GCCGTTGAGTTGGCCCCGACTCATAGTGACCCCTCCTTGGGTTTCTGAGGCGGTATCACTACAGAAGTAATTGCCCAACCTTCCTTCTGAGTTAGGGCCTTCAATTTTTAATTCAGTTCTTCCAGCTTGAGAAATGATGATTTGTTCTTCTCTTTTAGTTTTCTACTTCCAGGTCTTTGCACATTTCATTATGATACTTCACTGTGTCTTTCTGAGTTGCTCTTTGACATCCTCTATTCAGCTCTTTTACTTCATCATTTCTTCCTTTTGCTTTAGTTCTTCTACATTCAAAAGCAAGTTTCAGAGTCTCTTTTGACATGCAGTTTGGTCTTGTCTTTCTTTTCTGTCTCTTTAAAGACCTTTTGGTTTCTTCATGTGGGATTTCCTACCACAACTCATCTGGTCTTCAGTCATTAGTGTGCAATGCATCAAATCTATTCTTCGGATGGTCTCTCAATTCAGGTGGGATATACTCAAGCTTGTATTCTGCCTTTTGTGGACTCTTTTTCAGGATTCTTTCTTTGTCTTCAGTGAGTTCTATTATGATATGTATTGGTGATTTTCTTTTGGGGTCTATCTTGTTTGGGGTTCATTGGACTTCCTGAATGGATATATTCTCATCTTTTATCATATTAGGGAAGTTATCTTCCAACAAATCTTGGACAATTTTCTCTGTGGTTTTATTTTTCTCTTCCTGTTCTGGAATTCCAATTACAGGTAAGTTATTCCTTTTGATGGTATCCTACATGAATCTGAAGCTTTCTTCATTTTGTTTTGATCTGTTTTCTTATTGATCCCTTTCCAAAGAAGTATTCAGGTATTTGTCTTCAATCTCATTAATTCTGTCTTCCACTGATTCGATTCTATTCCTTTGCCCTTTTAATGTGTGATCTATTTCTGAAAATTTAGTATTAATCTTCTGGATTTCTATCTCTAGATTTTGTATCATTTCTAATTTTTGATTTATTTTGTCATTTTGTTCTTGCATTTTCTTCCAAAATTGTTCTAGGGTTTTGTCCGTGTTTTCCTTAATTTGGTCCGTGTTTTCCTCAATCTATCTCTCAATCCATTGAAGATACCTAAATATGATTATTTTGAATTCCTTATTAGGGAGTTTCAATGCTGCTTCTTCTTCAGGGATGTGTTCTGGGTCTGTATCCTGCTCCCTTATTTCTACTGCTTTATCTTGCTTCTTTGTGTGGACTGTGATGGTCTGTTTTCTCCCAAGACACTGTGACTTTGTTGATTTATATTTAATTGGTGACTGTATGTTGGAGTGATTTACCCAAGATTTTCATTTTCTTTGGCTGTATCTGACTAAGGAGGGTGCCGTGCTCCTCTATTTGCTAGCTGGCAGCACCTATGCAGTCACCACCTGTCTCCTGGTGGGTGTGATAGAGAATGAGAGTGGCTGCACTGATCTCTGTTAACTGTTTGTGAAAAGCAATTAAGGGTGAGTCAGGCTCTTATTGGTGGTCGTGTTTACTGGCCAGTTGGTGCAGAAGGAAGTGGCAGCTCTCACTCAGGAAGTGGAGCTGCAGGAGGTACGGGTGTGGTTGTGTCATATGGGCATAGTTGCTGTCTCCCACTCAGACAAAAACAATTGAAAAAGCATCAAAAAAGTAAAATCAAGAGGACAAAAAACACACCGCCTAAATACATAGGCACAATTACCACAAATAGGAAAAAAAAAGAAAAAGGCAATAAATGAGAGAAAATATTTAAAGAAATATTTTTAAAAACCAAAAGAGACATGAATAGAAAAAGGGGGGAGGGACTGCAATATCTGGGGAGTGGGAAATAAGAGAAAAGAGATAGAGTAGGAGAATAATGAGGGGGGAAATGCAAAAAGAAAAACAAGGAATGGGGAGAACCACAAGAAAGAAAAAAAAGGGAACCAGGAAGAGAAAACTATAACCTGAGAAGGGATTAAGAAAGAATAACAATAAAAAAGGATGGTAATAATAATAATAATAATAATAATAATTTAAAAACAAACAAACTAAAGAAAAAAGAAAAGAAAAAAAAATTGAGCAAGGCAGGGCAGGGCACCCAGGCTCCCTCAGAGCACACAGACTGAGATGGAATTCCTGCTGGCCCAGAAGGTAGGTAGGAGTGAGAGGTGGTCACACCTCCATTCACCAAGAGGGTGTAGAATATAAGTGTAACAAGGGGAATATGGCACCTTTCCCGTCCTCAGTGTCCAGTATGTCTTGTGGACTCTTTTTAATTTTCTTTAGCTTCAACTTGAACTTGCACATGAGCAATTAATGGTCTGTTTCACAATTGGCCCCTGGCCTTGTTTTGACTAATGATAATGAGCTTCTCCATCATCTCTTTCCACAGATGTAGTCAATTTGATTCCTGTGTATTCAGTGAGGTCCATGTGTATAGTTGCCATTTATGTTATTGAAAAATGGGTATTTGCAATGAATAAGCTGTTGGTCTTAAATAAGAGCCAAGGATCAACAATCATTCAAGGAAAGCACCTAATATTAGAGGCAAAAATAAACAAACAGAACAAAGCACATTGGAATAAACAAAGAATATGCAGGGAGTAGAAAACTTTTTAAAAATTCTAAAATTAATATCCTCAGAAAGAAGAACAAGATACAACAACAGAGGAATGTTCCAAGAGCAAAAGGAAGCTATAGATAAACTATCGTAGCAAAAATGGCAAACACAGCAAAAAGTTTAGAGAATAAAGTTGAGGAATTCTCCCAGGAAGTAGGAAAAAAAGATTAAAGATATAAAGAGGAGAGAAAGAAAATTAGATTAGGTCCAGCAGTCAAATAATAGGAGTCCCAAAAAGAGAAACAGAAAAAACAGAAGGGAAGAATTCAAAGCAATAATTTGAGATCATTTTCCCCAAGGTAAGCACATTAGTTGTGAGAATGAAATATGCAATATTATACATGAGAGCTCCACACTGTGATGCCTTGGACTCTGGAGATAAAAGGAAAATCCTAAGTGTGCAGCTGGTGGGATGGGAGAAAAACAGGTTTCCTGCAAAAAAAAAGCAGAGTGAGACTTCTCAACATCACCTATGGAAGTCTGGAGACAATGGGGCTATGCCGTCAAAATATGGTGATTCAGGGGAATAGACCATATGTAGGCCATTATTCCCAACCTAGAATAAGGTATCCAAACCATCACAAGAGGGTGGAATAAACACATTTTCAGACATGAAAAGTTTCAAAATTTCCTCCCATGAACCTTTTCTCTGGAAGCTACTGTAGGACATGCCCATAAAATAAGGTCAGGCACTAAGAAAAATCAAGATCTGGGATACAGGAAACAGGGAGTCTGAAAGGAGAAAGGGGTACACGGAATCCTCAGCATGATGGTGACAGGAGATATCAATCGAAGCTGCAGCAAACCCAGAAAGCATCCGATCCAGATAGCAAAAGGCTGCAAAGCTCTAAGACGCAGTAGTATTTTGTTTTTTTTTTTTCCCCAGAAGCTGAAATATGTTTGAACTTATTGACTGGAGACTTAGACAACTGGGAGAGAGTATGAGAGCCAATTAATGATATGTAGGCAGAAATAATAAAAACAAGACAATTATTTACTTCAGGAAGAATAAAAAACTGTACAGAAAATGAAAAGTAAAAAGCTCAGCTGTGAAGAACACATGTAGTAGTAACAACAGAAACCCTGTTCTAACGAAATTCAGGACATAACTCTGTTATGGAAAGCATGTACATAAGTGGTAGCTGGGGGAGCATGACAGAGTGTAAGTGAAAAATCAAGAAGTGGCAACATAAACATGTTATCTAGAAATACTAAAAGAATCAACTAAACCGGAACTGAATGGGGGGGGTGCGGTGTGAGAAAGAAATTAGCATTGGATTTTTTATTATTAACTATTCTTTTAGAAATATTTCAATTATATTCTTTAAGTTATACACATGCAAAGTTTTTCCTGTTGATTGTGCTAAGTATGTTGTCTGTTCCAACATCTTTTATATATTCAATGCAGTGACACTGATTACAAACATCATCTTGTACAACTATTACCTCTATGTGTTTCCAAATGTTTCCATCACCCTAAACAGCTTGGTGCCCGTTAAGCAACGACCCCATCCTTTCTTCTCTTCCTGCCACCCCTGGTAACCATGAGTACACTCTGGTCTCTCTCTCTCTATGTGGATATTTCATATCAATGAGATCATATAATATTTGTCCTTTTGTGACTGACATTTCACTCAGCTTAATGATTTCTAGGTTCATCCAAGTAGCAGGACTTCACTTTGCTCAGTAATATGCCACTGTGTGTATATACTATAATTTATCCATTTATTTGTTGGTGGACATTTAATCTGTTACTACCTTTTGGCTATCGTGAACAATGCTGCAACGAATATTGATGTACAAATATCTGTTTGCGTTCCTCCTTTCAGTTCTTTTGAGTATATACTTTGGAGTAGAATTGCTGGGTTTATGCGTGTAAAGTTCTGATCAAAATCAAAATAAAATTAACATAAAAAAACCTATATTCTTAAAACTTCTGAAAGGTCAACTTTCTCTATTAAAGCAAACTCTAGGTAGGGGTACAAAGGTAAGAAGCAGGTTAGAAAATGTTAACTAGAGAATAAAGATAACTTTCACAATGAAGAGACTTCTGAGTAATCTCTAAACATGGTGTTGCTGAAAAAAAAACCAACTCACTGCCATCGAGATGATTCTGACTCATAGCGATCCCCACTGGGTTTCTGAGGCTGTAAATCTTTATGGAAGTAGATTGCCCCATCTTCCTTCCATGGAGGACTTGGTGGGTTTGAACCACTGACTTTCTGGTTAGCAGCCAAATGCCTTACCCATTATGCCACCAGAGCCCCTTAAACTCAATGCTGAAGCAGTTCTTAATTTCTCTTCTGCTGCAAACCATGACTACGATTTTTTCTCATCAAGGAAGGACATTTACAATATTGCTTTAGATCAGGATAAAAACAACAACAACAATACTTTGAATCTCACCTGCCACCTTCTCCAGCGACGGCAATTGCTTCCTCTGCAAGTCGTAAAGCAGTTTCCTGGCTATACCAAAACTGGCTCAATTGCTGGAGTGGAGGAATGGGTTTAGAAATCATTTTAGAGTGGTCAACTTTGTTCTGTTAATTTATACCTACCATTCCAGTGTAAGGAGCTCTGGTAGTGCAGTGCCTAAGGCATTTGACAGTTAACCAGAAGGTTGGTAGTTCAAACCCACCAGCCACTTCATGGAAGGAAGATGGGGCAATCTACTTTCATAAAGGTTAACCACCTTGGAAACCCAACAGGGGTTTCTATGAGTTGGAATCAATTTGATGGCAGTGGGTTTTTTTTTTTTTTTAATACCAGTGTACCTTATAAGACTAAGGTGTGTCTAACCCAAGCCATGGTATTTTCAGTCGCCTCATATGCATGTGAGAGCTGAACAGTGAACAAGAAAAATTGAAGAGTTGATGCCTAATAAACTATGGTGTTGGCAAAGAATACTAAAAATACCATGGACTGCCAGAAGAATGGAACAAATCTGTCCTGGAAGAAATGCAGCTGGAGTGCTCCTTGGAAGCAAGAATGGCTAGACTTCGTCTCACCTACTTTGGTCATGTTGATAGAAAGGACATTCCCTGGGGAAGGGTATCATGCTTGGTAAAGGGGTGTTGTTGTTAGGTGCCATGGAGTTGGCTCCGACTCCTAGCAACTGTGAACAGCAGAACAAAACACTGCCTGGTCCTGCACCAGCCTCACAATCCTTTGTTATACTTGAGCCCCTCACCGCAGCCACTGTGTCAATCCACCTTGTTGAGGGCCTTCTCCTTCTTTGCTGACTCTCTACTTGACCACCACTTATCTGCCAGTTTGTTGTTCTATGGTGGCTTGCATGTTACTGTGAGGGTGGCGGCTATGCCACCAGTATTTCAAATACTAGTCGGGTCACCCACGGTGGACGGATTTCAGTACAGCTTCCAGACAAAGATGGACTGGGAAGAAAGATGGGACCATCCACTTCTGAAAAATATGGCAACTGAAAACCTTATGAATAACAGTGAAACACTGTCTGATATATTACTGGTAAAGTGGAGGGTCAGTGAAAAATGGGAAGACCCTTAATAAGATAGACTGGCTACAATCATGGGCTCAAATACAGCAAAGATTGTGAGGATGACACATGACCAGGCAGTGTTTCACTCTGTTGTACATAGGGTCGCTATGAGTCAGAGCTGACTTGATGGCACCTAGCACCTATAACAGAAACATACCAGTATGTATGCATACATATCTTCAGTTTTTCTCTTTAATTATCTTACATTAATCCAAGCCCCTAATGAATGAATGGAATCTAGGCATCATGTATCAATGACTGCTAATATCACAAACCAAGACAATCTTTGAACAAATATGCTTCTTCCAATCGAAGAACACACCCCATCTACATATCAGTCGTGCCAAAAAAAGGTTCCAGCCTGTTAGGAGTTTCCTTCAATTTGTTTTTCTTCTCTTCTATCTCTTACTTTTATTGGGACTATTAAAATACCAGTAAAGTACATATTATGCACATATTGGAAACTATTAGTATCTTCTTAAAAACTGCCTCTCCCAATTGTCCACTGCCTGCTGAGTTTCAGTTGCCTCATTTCCTGCAATGGTATCTTTCTCTCTCCACAAGGTATGCTGGGCTCCATAAAAACCAACGGGGCACTCAGTGTGCAGGAACAGAGCACACAGTTGTGTCAGATAGAATGGTTCAGTGTTCCCCTCAGTGAAAAGCCTCCTCTGATCTCCAGCCAGCCTGGTAGTCAGAGCCAGGAAAGTCTGCATTTACTGTGCGTTTAGCTCTCTGAAAAGAATATCAGCCCTTGAAGAGAAAATTAGGTGGGATACAAAGACTGGACCAAGGGCAGAAGAGGCACCACGCCAGTACACGCTGAGAGATCTGGAATGCATTTACTTACCCAATTCTCTTCTATTATTCCAATGTTGTATTTATCATCCCCGCCTGGGTCAGTGTGTTGCTTCTGCTCCTCATAAAATTCCTGGAGAGCTGCAAAGGTGTGGGCAGACAGCTGGGGGATGTCATCCTCATCTGAGTCACTCATTTCACAAACTGTCTATAAGCTGCAGATAAATGAGGAAAAGCGAATGCCTGAGATGAGGCCTAAATGAATGGTAGAAGGGACAATGCATGTAGTCCTTGGTTGAAACAATATATGAGTAGGGGGAGAAAGAAAATATGATTTTAAAAATTAACATGGTTTATTTGGAAGGAAATGGAAGTTCCAAAAATAGAACAGACAGTGTCATGCACCCTCCCCTTCAGCGTCCCCCATGGTCTTACATTGTTGTTGTTGTTGTTATGTGCCGTCGAGTCGGCCCCGACTCATAGCGACCCCTCCTTGGGTTTCCGAGGCAGTATCACTACGGAAGTAGGATTGCCCAACCGTCCTTCCGAGGAGTGGCTGGTGGGTTTGAACCACCAGCCTTCTGGTTAGCAGTCAAGTGCTTTAGCCACTATGCTACCAGAGCTCCTTACATAAGCATAGTAAAATATCAAAACCAGGAAATTGACCAAAAAAAAAAAACCAAACTCACTGCCATCAAGTTGATTCCAACTCATAGTGACTCCCACTGGGTTTCTGAAACTGTAAATCTTTATGGAAGTATATCACTCCATCTTCCTTCCGTGGAGCAGCTGGTGAGTTTGAAGTGCTGACCTTCCGGTTAGCAGGCACATGCCTTAGCCACTACACTACCAGAGCTCCTCAGGAAATCAACAGTCGTGCAACATTGTTGACGAGATTACAAATCTCGTTCAAATGGCACCGATTTGTATATATACTCATTTGTGTATGTGCGTTTCTATGCAGTTTTACCCCAGGTACAGATTCACATCACTACCACCACCATCAAGGCAGGAAACCATTCCATCATTTCTCCTTTCCAGTCACCCATGCACACCTATTCCTGTCTCTTGGCAACTACTCATTTGTTTTCCATCTCTATACTTCTGTCATTTACAAAATGTTATATAAGTATAGTATGCAACCTCTTGAGACTGGCTTTTTTTTTTTTTTTTTTTTAATCATTCAGTACCCTTGCTATCCATCAAAATTGTTGCATGAATCAATAATTGTACGTATGTACCACAGTTTTACCATTCACCCACTGAAGGGCATTTATATATTATTCCAGCTTTCACCTATTCTAAATAAAGCTACCATGAACATCTGTGTACAAGTTTTTAATTTTAATATTTTTCCCGAATTAAGGAAACTTTATATACACATCAAACGGATCACAGCATCTAAATTATTTGTCGATATTTTGGCTAGTTTATAAATCCTCAGTATAGAAAATGTGGCCAAGATAAAACAAGCAAAAAAAAATAATGGTAATACTATCAAAATGCTTCTCCAAAAGGGTAAAAAGAGAACCTATGGATTGGGAACAAATATTTGGCTATGACATATCTGATAAGGGACTTACCTCTAAAATTTACATAAAACTTCAACACTTAAACACCAAAAAGACAAATAATCCAATTCAAAAGTGGGCAAGGGACATGAACAGACACTTCACTACAGATGATATACAGGTGGCCAACAAACACATGAGGAAATGCTCTGATCATTAGCCATTAGAGAGAGGCAAATCAAAACAACAATGAGATATCATGTCACCCCACCAATAACAGCAAAGTTCAACAAGACAGAAAATAACAATTGCTGGTGAGGGTGTGAAGAGATTGGAACTCTTATACACTGCTGACGGGACTGTAAAATGGTATAGCCACTGTGGAAAACAGTGTGGCGTTTTCTTAAAAAATTGAAAATAGAAATACCATTTGATCCAGCAAATCTATTACTAGGAATATATCTTAGAGAGGTGAGATCCAGGCCACAAACAGACATATGCACACCCATGTTCATCATAGCACAATTCACTATAGCTGAGACATGGAAACAACTTTAAGTGTCCATCAACAGGGATAACCAAACTATGGTACATTCATACAATGGAATACTATGGAACATTTAAGAATAATGAATAATCCACAAATCACCTTGTGATAGTTAGAGCTGTGTGTCAACTTGGCTGGACCACAATTCTGTGTGGTTTAAACAACTGTGATGTGGTTATTCCCATGATGGGATCAGATGAATATGTTTTGAGCAGCCAATCCACTGAAAGGGAGTTTCCCTAGGGGTGTGGCCTGCTTCCAGTATATTTATGGACATCCTGGGAAAAGGGACATTCTTCTGTGGATTGGGATTCTGTTGTGCTGCCTACAACTGTCCGTGAGTGAACAATCCACCATTCAGCCTGGA